TGTCCACCTTGCCAGCTCCAGATTCGAAACAGACTCTAGATCACATCTAAGAGTTGGTCCGAGCTCTAAGCCAAGTACTGGAATTTTGGGAAAACAAACAAGAGAACTCACCGACGCAAGCAGGCTTGGGTCTGCGTGACAGTATTTCATGGTTTTGATGAGTGGCATTGCCGAAACCTTCGTTTTCCCGCCTTCTTCCAGTTCTTGCTCATGGCCGAAGAAATGCAGAAGTAGTTGCTGCAGTCCATGTCGGCAGGGCAGCCCGTCACTCCGGCTGGCATGGCGGTGGCCTCCGCAGCATTTAGGGTCTAGTGCAGTTGCACGTTGCCACAAAACTCATAGTAGCGTCGCATAATCACATGAAGGCAATACTCCTAGGAATGACAATGCCCTTATGACTTGAGTATGGTCAGGAAGACAAATGCAGTATACACTCAGGAATTGCTAAACGCTTCAACCCTAAACCCACAAGCTTACAACAGTAACAGGACCAGTCCTACATGATGGTGGAACCAACCATGACATCAATAGCCAGCCCGGGAATAACAACGAAAAGTATGGATGGGAATGCTATCGCAATAGTTACGACTTGCAAACAGCTGTCAGAAATGGTCATAGCCATCTCATCTGTTCTGAATGGCCATGGCGCCTTGGAGTCTGCGATGTTGATTAGCGCTAAACCTAGGCCCAAATCCCAAGACCCTAAACCCTAGACTCCAAACCCTAAATCCTAAACCCACCAAGGCCTTCGGCGCGCCCAGGGACAGGGCTTTGGTGACATCCTTGTTCGGATCCACAAAGACATCCGTCCTGGCTCTTGCTTCAAGTTTATTACGTCATGGATTCCCCTACTACCAACCCCCCGTATGCTACATTCTAGCTTCTCCCTTGATTAGCCTTAATTTTGGGAGGATAGGATACCGGGGGGTTAATAGCGTGGTCCATAAACACGGCTCAGGACCAGAGGACTACCAAAGGATGTACCAAAGGATGACCGGATTATAGCAATAGTCGTGCCTATGAGGCCATGCTGGGAATTTGCCGCGGTACCATAAAACACAATCGCTTCTGCTGAAGGCCTTCAGCTTACTTGGAGGGTCATGGGGACTGAGTAAATGAGTTAATAATGGGGATAATTGGGGTTATTACATGGCTTATGGAGTTATTAACCTACTTACTAAGTCCCCAGACCCTCCAAGTAAGCATTCATAAACGGCATCCTTTGGGTTCCCCATCAGGATTTAATCTCGAGAAAGATGCAAAATTTTACTCAACATTTTCGAAGCATCAGCGGGCTGACAATGAACCTTGAGTTTAGGGCTTGGGCGATCAAGATCTAAATTGCAGGGTTCCGATGTTCTATTTAAGATTTGCGGCTCTAAGCCTAAACCCTAAACCCTAGACCCCTAAACCCTAAAGGCCCTAAACCCCAAACCTCGAAGCTTTGGCTTCACAGTTTGGGGCTCAAGGTCCAGAAATTTGCAGACGCTGCCCTCCACACCAAAAATGAAAGCTGAAAAGGGTCCGCATCATACTGCAGAGGCGGCTTAGCACACTTGCATTTTTAACAGCGAACAATGCTTGTTGGTTGCCCGACATGCCCAACACATCCTTCCCTAAACCCAAAACCCTAAACCCTACATCCTTCCTTCGAGATCCCTACCTTGCCTCTGCGTGGGGACTCAGCGGACTTCGTGAGTATACTGAAAACCCCTACAGGCATACTAGGGTTTAGGGTTTAGGGGGTTAGGGTTTAGGGTATGGGGTTTAGGGTTCAGGGTTTAAAACTATCCTCAGTTCTCAGTGTTGACCTAGCTACCAAGTCCCCTGACCCTCCCAGCAGAAGCACAGTGGATCTCGGAGAACCCTCGACACCAGAATGGGCTGCTGCTTAAGAACTTGAATGGAGTTACCATAATATAGGCTCACTCTAGAGACAGAGGTTCTAGGGGACATATTGTTGGGAACCTAGGGAGTAGTGAAAAAGAAGCTGGAAAATTGAATGGCAACCAGGGTTATATAGGGTTGCAAGGAAACTTGATTTAGATTACCATAAGAGGATCCTCGATCGAAACCTTACTATGTACCATATATCCATATTACACTACCAACCCAGCTTGCTCAAGGCTGATTTAGGAACTTCGTAGGCGATGTGAAGGTGATGTCGCCGCCACTGCCACCCATGACAGCGTCTGTGATTCCCTTGGAGATGTAGAACCTAGGTAGAGTATGGGGTTTCGGATTAAGGGTTCAGAGCCGCGGTTTTTCAAAGATCAAGAGTTGTTGATGTCCCTTTTTCTTCTCAAGTCAAGGGTTTGGTTTACAGGGTGAAGGATCCCTTCTTACGACTGTTCCTCTCAACTCCTAAAAGCCCTAAGCCTTAGATCCTAGCAGTAACCAAGAAACAGAAGGCCACCCTCTCCAGTGATGGCACCGAGGATGACCTGAGAAAGAAGCTCAAAGCATCTTCATGATCATCTTATACGAATTTCAACGTGTGAAATTAAGACCAGTATTTGGGGTGAGGGCGAGTGAGGTCATTATAATTTGTTCAGACCTTCTTCATACTTAACCGACAACCACCAGCAAGAGCTCCAAGGTTGTGCTCCCATACGGGTTTCCCAATATAAGCACAGTGTAAGCTCAATAATCCTCCAGGAAGGATGCTACATGCCCCCAGAAGCCTCAAAAGCCCGCGAACAAACTGTAAACGACAGCTGACCTCCTGAAATCTATAATCCTTATAATCCTCCTGAAGTAGGTAGAATTATGGGGTATGTGGGGATCTTATTATAATAAACGCAACGCCATATTCTATCTTCTCAAGGAAGACTATAACCCTAAACCCTAAACCTATCTTGTCTCTACTTAAGGGGGACTATAAACCCTAAACCCTAAACCAGCTTCAGAATGCATCAAGCCGAAAAGCCTCCTCGGGCAACAGGACTGCGACGCTAAGCCTCGGATGCTAAGAGAAACATGGTTTAGGGTTTAGGGTTTAGGGTTTAGGGTGCCTCAGTAATTTCATGGATAATGATAATCTATAACAATACTGGTTAATGATTTTTCATCAATGACAGGTACTACACATCATCACCATGGTCATTACTTACTAACAAAAATACTATCAATGAGGATAGTATCCTGTACAGCCGTACGACTATATGGCTTAATGGACACTTGCATGCCCCTTTGCGTACTACACTGCCATCATTGCTCGTATGTAAGCACATAAGGTCATGCATTGTATGGCCCTAAACCGGAAACGCCATTCAACCCTCTAAGTCCCAAATTGCCATTTCAGATTCAACCTAAACCCTAAACCCGAAACTCTTCAACCCCAAACCCTGAACCCCTTAATTTTCCATTCCTGAGTCACATGTTGAACATGTCGTGAACTGTCGCCCCAGAAAAAGCACGCTCAAGCTCGATGCGCTCGCCGGCATG